TAGAGAATTATAGAAATGGTAAAAATACCAATTCCAACTTAGAGAAAAAATTAATAAAAAGGAAAAAAAAACATGAAGATGAAACAATCAACTATATAAGAGAATATTCCATCGATTTATTGTTCTATTATAAGCAACTTATTTAGCCTATTTTTAAAAGTTATGAAAATACCGTCCTTGGGAAAATATCTTTTCGATTCGAATAATGTCAGATTCATTTACAAACAAATTATTAGAGTATCATCTAAGGTTTTCAATAATTTTAAGAAAAATTAGACTGTGATCTAATGTCTTTGATAAGATCTTCAATTTTCTCAAAAAGAATATTTAAATGTGGGCTAAAAGGACCATAGACGGAAAGAGAAATTAAAGGGATCATTTACTAAATAGTTTTACCAAAAAGGGAAAAAAATTCACGGGAACTACCGCGATGAAATTGTACAAACTTCCCTTCATGTGTTGGTTTTTAACTTTTGCTCTTCAAATGGATTGGTTTTTAAATTTTATCTTTTAGCAATCGAACTTATGCCAGTGGACATAAGTTTTTGAAGGGAAAAAGTCATACAAGATATAACTTGTGATATATTATGGTGTGTAAATATAAACTTATGCTCCACGGAAAAATTGTTTGTTACGAGGGACATAAATTAAAAACCAACATAAAAATTGGGCCAAAAGTGCAAATGACCCAACTACTGTAGGTTGAATGAAGATGGCCCAATCTAGCCTTGTTCTGCAGCCCAACAAACTGTAAGCTGGCCCATAGTTGCACCAAGGCCCATTTAAGTTTGGCCCATAAAATCCTAACCCAAAGATCTATTGTTTGGAAAAATATTTTGTTGAACGAAAATAAAAAAAAAAATTAATTAAATCTTGTATTTATCTTTCTTGTATATATACATAAGATATTTCATCTTAAAAATTTATATTTTTCTCAAACAAAATCTCATGACACGTATTATTCGCTTTGACCTAATAGACTTTATAAAACTTTCCTTTTGATTGCATCGCATCGAACATGTGGATTTGCTAGTACATTGTCACATATAGGGCACACTTTTCCCCTCCATTTCCAATGTGAAGTTCGGAGGAAGCAACTCAGTCTTCGCCTCTTTAGAAGCGTTGATCCACCCTTAACTCACTTTTATTTATGCTCGTCTTCTATTATGATCATCAGCCATCACATATACACACTCTTCTTTAGAGACTTATAAATGTTTTCGCTGAGCTTTATTTCAACGTTATGTTAAAAAACTTTATCATAAATCAAAATCCATGACACGTATTAATATTATACACCTTAGAATAATAAATTTTACGAATTTATACTTTAGGCTACGCCACATCAAGCTCGAAATTTGTTCACAGCAGAAAGTTCCAGCAAATTAAACCCCTATACAGTAGATACGTATCATCATATAAATAAATCTAACTAAAATAAATGTGTAGGGGGCAGTAGATAAATTAATTAGTGTGTAATTAAATGCTCTTCATTGCATAATTAATGAAAATAAAGAGGTCTTTAATTGGACAACTTTTTAAATTAAGAAAAGAAACATCAGCACGTTTTTACGTAGGTCACTATGGTGTAGTGCAGGTAGTCCCCTCTCATCGGCCTGAGCTAAAAATTCGTATACAGATTCAATCGAACTCAATAATATTAAAAAAAGTTCTTATCGCTTAAAGTCTGATTACTTTAATATTTAAAATTCATAAAATTAAAATTTTAACTTCGCGTCTGCCCCTCTTATTTCTATCATTTGTACTGCCTTATTTGTTTGACACGTGTCCTAAGAAATTTTATATTGAGTTGTATAAGTATTTAAATGTTTGTAGGGTTTGTAGGGTGGCCATTACATTACATGTTGACCAAATTATTGCCTTATTTAATTTCATTGCGGTAACAAATATTATATTACAAAAGGTGTATTTGTTAACATCACATGCATGCCAATTTTGCCAGCAGATCAATCATATTTTTGGGAAGACATATAATGCTAAATAAAGTAATTTATGTTTTATTGCAAAAAAAAAAAAAAAAAGTTCCACCTACGTGAATTATATGTATATATATGTGTTGGTCGAAAATAACATATATTTCGTGAATTATATTAGATGGTAACGTGTTAAATATCATCGAAGAATGATGTGGCGAGATGAGTGAGATTTCTTTCATTTTATTTAGTTGAGAGGTTTTGAGCTCAACCTCATAGAATGGAGAAATTCATGGTATGCAATTACAGGTACATAGAATATAATTTAGGATTTGGAAGTCTGATCACAAATTCGAATCATGTATATATAGCAGGGGTGAAGCCACCTTATAACCGAACCCCCTTCGGCGGAAAATTATATTATTTATACATGGTTAAATTTTTTTTTTTTATATATATAGGAGATGTTGAACCCCCTTTGGCTACTTCGTGTGTCTATTTCTACAGATTTTGAACCTCCTTACCGAAAATTCTGACTCCGCTAGTGATATAGAGCCCCCTTTAATTGAGGGTACTTCACTCTCAGAGTGATACTTCTCAACGCAAGTCTAAATAGTCATACTTTAAAGTGGATATTGACTATCGAATGAAAACTAAAAAAGATCCGAACATAATTAATTTAGAATAATTAATAATAGAATAGCTTTTGTATGAACATTTTGTTTTCAATTCGACCAATTTGATGATCTTATTTCACAGTCTATTGGTTTAATAATTTGAATTCACGTTAAGTAAGTCTAATGAAAAGGTAAATAGCTCTTAATTTGCTATGTCAACTTTTAACGTTGCATGCATTATTAATTTGACATGTTAAAGTCTCTAAAGGTCACGATGAGACATGACAAATTAATCAAACTATATACCCTTAGAGAAAGGGCATAAATAATATAGAGAAATCACATGTTTCCCTCTTTCATTTTTGTTAATTTTGGTGAAAAGAAATTAAAAGTTACATGAAATTAAAATAAAAGTATTTTATTACCCTAAAAAGATAACAAGAATTTCGTGACACTTACTTTTCCCATTTCATATTATTGATTCTTTCTATCAACCATTATTCTCCTTTTTTACTATTCCCCCCACCCCCACCCCCCACCCCCACCTCTTTTTGTATGTAAATTCTTCTTTATTAATTAATTGAATTTTTAATAACATTTTTAAAAAAATAATAAGAGAGGGCCTATACCAATACTATATTATGTGTTGTTTTCTCTATCTAGATATTAGTCAAAATTAGGGGAATAATAATTCTAGTGTTCACACACACACACAAAAAGTAATAAATCAATGTAGCCTAGTGCCCATATGTACATTTGAATTTAATTAAAAGTTGAAATTATATAGTATTTCTTTTGATTTAAAGAATCATGATTTATAAAATAAAGAAGTAGTTACCTTTTTAAAATATTTTTTAAGGTCATGTTAAGATGATAATGTCTACCTTTTTCTTATCAAGTTATTAGCTCTTTGAATCTCTGGTTTGTTACCTTCTATTATCGATAGTTTCATTATTAGACATCTATAAGGATACTTAATCAAATTTTTTTTGCTCAAAGTTTAAAATTAGTTATTCCTCCTTTCATCATGTTGATTGTATTTTAAGGCTATCACATATTCATTGAGTTTTCTTGAATATAACTTTTGTCGTTTGTTTTTAAAAAATCATGATGTTGCATCGAGAGTTCTATAGATGAAAGTATTCTAAGAGACTAGATTTTTAAAAAAAACGTTTAAGTTATAACTTGTCTGTACGTCTATCTTCAAAAATAAGAAAAAAATGATTTCTTATATTAACTTATTGTTTGTTTAATTTCTTAAATACTTAATGTATCGAGTTATAAATTATTTTAGTTCATGTTTTAGAACTTTAAATTAAGTACCTCTATTATTGGGCTATAGTATTAATAATAACTCTATAATTTATGAGTTTTGACTACTAGTCCCATCTCTCATAATTGATTCATAACTTATTTAATGCTATTTATAACTCTATATTAGTCTACATCCTCATCGTCGGTCATTATTAATATTATTATGTGAAATTGGTGAATAATATTATGAGGATATTTTAAGTTATATACACGGACAATAACTAATAATTGTATAATTTAAACATGTTACTTTATTTTCCAAATTAGTAGATCATGTTTGTTATATATAGTTTACTCGTTATTACCGATAACTTGATATAATCGTGCAAAAATATTAATAAATGATGTTAGTGCATAAAACTTAAACCTGATGTATATATAATTATAATAATATAATACAATTTTAATAGTTTTAGTGACAAATGGTTAATTATATTTAAATATATTTTTTTTTTGTTCAAATATTTAAATATATATGATAGACTTTAAATGAACCTACATATATCTACCTTCTTAAATTCCTACCATACTCCATATTTTTGCTTTTAATTTACTATGTGGAAGAAATTACACACCAATGAGCTTGATAATCATAAATTAAGTTGCCTTCACTCAAATATTGAATAGTTAATTTACAAAATAAATAAGACTTTGTGATTGATATGAGAAGAAAGCTATAATATTGGAGCTTATTTTAACTTCAAATTAGAAAAGTTACATAAAATTAGAACTATATGTTAACTTAAAAGTTAAAACTTCACACACATCTAAGGACTTCGTCCAGGTGATTCTATCATCAAAAACATTATTCGATTGACATAACATTTCACTACATACACTTGAACTAGCAGCTTTCAAGATCTCATCATTTCGGTTGAATCACTTGAGCATTAATACATTTTCCATGCCATGAAGCTAAAAACCTTCCTTGATTGGCAGAACGTTCTGCTAATAACACTTGAAAAAGCAACTTTCAAGATCTCATCGTTTCTGTTGATGAATCACTTGAATACTGAGTCAGTAAGCTATTACGCTTTCTTCAAATAATAAGACATGAATGCATGCCCCCAAATAAACTCCACACAAGAAAAAGAAGAAAAAAAGTAGTCATAAGGTATAATTATAGAGAAAATAATTGGTATTATTAAGTGAATATCATTGGAAGTTCCATGAGTTCTTCAACTTGACCACCATTTTCTTCTAGTAGCCACTTTTCAAGATATGTGAATGGAGGAGGACTTGCCTTTTCATGTGTAACAACTTCACTACTTTCACAATTAATATTATAACTTGATTTCTCATTTGGAATTGTTACAACATCATCATGATTGCTAACTCCTCCATCTTGATCTTGGTTTTTTTGTGCCTCATGCAACATTTCATCATGATCAATATTGTTTCTTCTAGAAGGATTAGGGGAAGATCTCATCCAACCTTCTAGAAGTCTTGAAATATTTTCTGTACTAGAAGCATACAATGATGATGATGAAGAAGAATTTGGAGAGTTTAATAACTTTGAGAATTGATGATGATCATAGTTATTAGTGCTAGAATTGTCAAAATTAGGAGGAGGAAGAGGCAAATTATGTGAATCCAATTCTGTTTGGAATTTCTTGAGTTTCTTCTTTAGATGTGTGTTCCAGTAATTCTTGATGTCATTGTCTGTCCTTTGTGGTAGATATGAAGCTATAGCTGCCCATCTGTACAAACATATACATATACATTTCAATCTCTAATAAGTTGGAAAGTCAGCTATATGAATTTTCACTGTCTGTTTACACTCATCTCAAAAAAAATTTCTTTTAATTGTATGATTAAAATAACAATGTTTGAGTAAAACAAATGTAATTAAGAAGGTGAAGAACATTACTTGTTACCCAACAAAGCTTGAAGATGAATTATCATTCCTTCTTCATGTGGAGTGAAATTCCCCCTTTTGATTCCTGGCCTCAAGTAATTTGTCCACCTTAGCCTACAACTTTTGCTGCATCTCATCAACCCTTTTAAAAAATAAAATAAAAATTGCTTCATTAAAAAATTAAATAAAGAAAATTATAATCTTTTCTATAAAGAAAAAAGAAAAATATAACCCTATAATTATAACACCAACATAAAGTAACTATAAACCAATATTAGCACTAGGGAGTGGTCCTTCTGGTGGAGTGCTAAATACTTCTTTATTCTTTAATCAAAAGTTTCATATTCAAGCCTCGAATCGGATATGAATCACCTTAAGACTTTACCTATATGGACTTTCCAACAGAAATTTCAGTCGGACCTTCATGTGAGTACCATACATCAGATATGGAAATCGAACCTCAATATGAGTACCAGACATCATCAGATACGGAAAAAAAAAAATCAAGATTGCAACTAACTTACCAGTATTAGTAGGGACTGATCTCCAATTTCCAGGACCATGTTCTTGAATATAAGATACTAAGATGATATCTTCTTCAGGAGTCCAAGGACCTTTCTTGATACCTATTTTATCACAACAAGGTGGTCTCCCCATACTTTGTTTGGGTGGGTGGGGGGGGGGTTGTGTTTGTGTTATTTTGTTGTATGAAAGTGTTTTTGATGGATATGAAAATGGGGGGCATATTATATAGATAGGTGTTTAAATAAAGTGAGGTGATTGGAAGAAAAAAGAAAAATTGTCTTTAATTCAATTCATTGTTGAATTTGGTGGACACACATAGGTTCTGTGTCCTTTTTTTGTGGCACTTTAATGTTAAAGAGTTTTACAACACTTGTTGAAGTTGGAAGGGGTGTTTGAATTTACTAGTTCATGACTCTTTTTTCTCTTTACATCTGTATACTTCATAAAATAGGGGTAGAAAAAAGAGAGGAGATATTTGGTTGATAGCATTTTTTGCCAATATCATTTTAATATGCATAGCACGTAAATGTGTCCTTTAACTTGACCTTATTTGATATATATGTCTTCTAATTTTTGGTGTGCACAAATAGACACTTAAACTTGTACAAATTTGAACAAGTAGATATACGTCCTACGCGACATCCTACGTGTATTATGTCATGTAAAATATGTGTATCTACTTGTTCAGCTTAATACAAGTTTAAGTTCATACTTGAATATACGAGATAAGTTAAAAAAACATATTGAATCAAGAAAAGCAAATATGCATAGAGGGACATTTAACCTTATGGATGTTATGACGTGAAAATATAAATTTATGCCCTACGAAAAAATTAAATACCTCGAAGGAACAAAAATTAAAGACTAGCACAAAATTGGGTAAAACTTAAAAGTGTGAATGACCCCTTTTATATGTTTATTGGATTTTTGTATGAGCTGAACTTGGGCCCAATTTTTATTTTTATTTTCACTTGGGGATCCAAATCGTAGCCCATACACTTTATATGGCCTAACCCGACCCGTTATATTTGGTCGTTTTGTAGCACCAAATTGACTGTTGATGGCTTCTCTTTCTGCTCATTCTCCCAAAAAATCCAGCTAATGGCAGAGCAGAAAGATGAAGCAGAAGTCAATCAATCCACTGAACAATCTCAATCTGTAAGTCCTCTATCTTCTATTGATCTTCTGTAATTAGTTTTTTGATTTCTGTTAATTGTTGACTAAATTGGTCGTGTTCGAGCCGTGGAAACAGTCACTAATACTTGCATTATGATAGACCGTGTAGATCATGGTCCTTCTATGGACCTTGTTAATGCAGGATGCTTTATGCATCGGACTGACCTTTTGCTCTTATGGACTATTTGTTCAAAATGAAATTGAGTGCTTTTGTAATCAGTTATTAGAATTGTTTGCTCTATTTCCTACTAGAGTAGTTCATTTTTGCTGATTTCTTTTTTGGAAATGATTTTATATTCTTTGATTCTTATAAAATTACAAAGGGGAACAATGGTAAAGTTGTTTATGTGTGACCTATATGTTATGGGTTAGAGAGATGGAATTAGTCATTGATGCTTACGTAAGGGTAGACTGCTTATATCAAACCCCTTGCCGCAGTGGCGGAGCCAGGATTTTTAATAAGGGGATTCAAAATCTGAAGAAATAAACACGAAGTAGCCGAAGGGGGTTCGACATCTACTATATATATACCTAAAAAATTATTTTAACCATGTATAAATAATATAATTTTCCACCGAAGAGGGTTCGGATGAACCCCTGACTATAAAGTAGCTCCGCCACTGCCCCTTGGGTCGAGGCCTTCCTTGGACACTGCATGAATGTTGAATGCTTTGTGCTTATGAGATTCAGGTTTTTGATATAGTTCGTTATGGGCTGTTTGATTATTCAGTTCACTGTGAAATTTCATTCTTTGACTGCTCTGCTCCCCCCCAAAAAAAGAGAGACTGAATTTCTTCCACCTTCCTTGTACGAGTAGTGAAGAAGTATAGATTTAGTTGGTTGTTGACCAACGGAAAGCATGGGATCAAAAAAGGAAGAATTTACGCAATTTCTTTTCTAAGAAAGAGATCATAGTGATTGATGGTTCTTTCAATCCGGCGAAATGGAATTGGCGTGTACCAATTTGGGTATTGTTATAATTAGTAATTAAAGTTGTTTTCTTTTTTTTGTTTTGACAAGAACAGTTTATTTTCTAATATCTATTTTGAGGTTGAAAGTGATATTATCCCTTGATTCCTTATGAAACTATCATATTAATATGTTGATTGACTGTTTGATTGTTCATTTTCACTGTGAAATTGGATATTCTTGTAATCGGTGAGTTAAAATGTTGTTCTTAATTTCTACAAGAAATGTTCGTTGACTAATTGCTACCTTGAAGTTTATGGAAGTGATATTAGCTTTGATTCTTCTTACTTACATGTTTTGATACAGTTGATTAGTGTCCATTTGATCATTTAGCATAATGGAATTAAGGAATTGTTATACTTGTAAAAAAAAGTTGGGTACTTTTGCCATCAGAAATTGAATTTGATCTTATAATTTCTGCATTGTAGTTTGTGGAAGTGATTTCCAGAAGCACCGGCAAGACTTGGCGATTTGCTGCTGGAACAGAGGCAAAATTTGCACTGAAATTTATCAATAGTAGTAGCGTTGATTCTATCTTGGCAAACCAACCTGCAACTTACGTTGAAGCTGTTAAAGATGGGGAAGTGCCTGTGATTTTTGGCCCCAATTCAATTCTTGTGAATTATGGCAAAGGATGGAAATTGCAGCCAGTCACTGAGACAACAAGTAAGCTATTATGATATTTAATTGTTTTTGGTACCTGAATTACTTAGAACTAGGAAACTGTCTGTAGTAAGATTTTTTGGTTATTCTCTTGCAGAAGGTTTTTCAAGAGGGATGCCTGATGACTACGCAGCAGCAAGACCAGAATATATTCCTCCGGTATGATTGTAATCACACTAATCATCATATTTATCCTCCTACATGAATATTGTTCTTTGTATGTCCCAATCTGAATATCTGTGCTTAACGTGTTTTGGAAGTTAAACATGAGTAAGTTGCATGAAAAATTGTGTAAAGGAATTTTGATCGTGTATTTTCAGCTGCGACTCTAAAAGCTTCTCCACAAATGAAGTCAACACTATTTTCAAAATGATTAATAAAAGAAACCTGGACATTCAATAAGGATATCTTTCATTTTGTTCATTTTGAAGTCTGCATTATAATTTTTCAGGTAGCTATTGTCATTCAGGGTGTCTAAATTTGCATTTCCTTGCTTTACAAGCTGCAAATTGGAACACTCGGTCAAATGCAGATGTAAATAAAAGGCGTTGAAATAGCCCCTTGCATCTCATGTATTTGGATATTAATTCAGACTTGTTATTGCTTCAACTTGATCAAAAAATCGTTATTGCTTCATTCACTGGAGAACTTTTAAGTATTTGAATGTTCCTCAGATGATTTCTTGGGTACTTCATAGTTCTCTTTTATTAAAGATTTTGGCTTTTACACCATTTTTCAGTTTACATATGTCAAAATTGTATGTAAATGAGCATCTATGCCAAGTTATAGACTTTCTCATATAACTTGCATTTGAATCTTTCTATGCTTTTGCTTTCTTAAATCTGTCTCCACCAATCAGGTACTAGATAATGAGAAATAACATGCTGAGAATTGTTTTTAGGAAACAGAGACACCACGTCGGTTAATACTTATTAGTGAGATGGTATACATTAGGGTATGAAAGCAATATGTACAAACTTTTTTCTACAAACTCATATCGTATTCTCGAAGTGTGACTTGTGAGAAATTTTCATAAAGATTTTTCTAATACAGTATTGATAAAAGCAATTGGCCTAATTCTTTTAAACAATGTCAGTAAAAGGAACTTTATTCATGTTCATGAGTGATGACATCTCCTCTTTTTATTTGATTGAAGAGGTAGGGGGAGGACAAAGGTATGTGGTGGTTACAAGAAGAAGAATAACACTCTGGTGGAGGTGTGATGAAATAATCAGATATTAGCTTTGTTCAAAAACCGTGAATAATATTGAATCTCCCGAGTTTAAGAAATAGTCTTGTGACCACCATTTCCTTATTGTTTCGTGTTGTTTCCACTTTCGTCTTGTCCCAGGGTGCGTTCCACTCCACGAGTTTGAGCTAAAGACCCAAAGTGATTGATCAGGAATCCTGTATGAGAAGAAAAACACACAGTTTCTGATTCTCTGTCTTCCATTTTTTGCAGGTTTCGGACAACTCACATTCTGCAAAGAGAAGTTCACAAGCTCCTCTAAGCCCTGTCTACATCGGAAAGATATTGCTTGTATTTGTTCTAATGTTCTTGATTGGTGCCGTCTTCACCTTGTTGCTGGATAACCTTCCACAGCTTTTATCTAGATATGGGCTCGACGTTGAATAGCGTCTTTGAGATACATATAAGCCTGTAATTAAGAGCATTTGCTTGTGTAAAAAATCTGAAATATTTGCCTGTGGTTCATGTTATATTGTAAAGCTCTTCTAAAAGAAGTGTTGCTTCTCATCACTTGTTGTCTTACTGCTGTGTTTGGAAATCTGATATTGAAAATTTTCTAACTTTCCTACCCTGGGCATTGTAATGGGTCAGAAACATAAAACGGCACGTTTTGCCTTTCAAATGAATTGGTTTTTAATCTTTGCCCTTTAGTGATTGAATTCAAGTCTTTTGGACATAAATTCTTTGCCTTTCAAATGAATTGGTTTTTAATCTTTGCCCTTTAGTGATTGAATTCAAGTCTTTTGGACATACATTCTTTAGAAATTGAAGTCATGTTTGAGAATAACTTGTGAAATATTATTGTATGAAATATAAACTTGTGCTCCACGAAAAAAGTTATTTGTTATGACTTATCCTAGAGGGGCAAAAATTAAAGACAAAACACGAAATAGAGACAAAAGTGTTCACAAACCACAGAAAAGAGCACTCCTTATGGTATGATGATTAACTACTCTTTTGTTTCAATTTGTTTGTACTTTTTTTTTTTTAGTTTGTCTAAATAAGGACTCTTTCCTTTTTTCTCCATTTTAACAATTCTTTAATTTCAACTTCAGATGACATTTTAAAGACCATTCAATAATAAGAGCCTAACCTAGACCAAGGACTTTCTCGTCTCAAGGGCATTTCCATCAATCACTTCAACAGAGCCAAAATGTCCTATTCCGTGAGTTATTGGAACCGTTGACTCCACTTACATAATCACTTCAACCGTGCTAAAATGCCCTATTCCTTGAATCACTGGAATCGCCGATCCCACTTACGTAAAAAAACACATTCAACATATCTTAATGTAAGACCACATGATTCAAACGTGTTTTTTATTTTCTTAATTCTATGTCAAGTCAACCCAAACAAACAGACGGAGAGAATGGATATTTTGCTTAATTGTCCCTAAAAAGATGGACCCAAAAGAGAAACCTTAAACTTCTAGGGCCACATTGTACTTTTTCATATTTTAAAATAATAAAAACAAAACTATATCAAGAAGATATTCCTTTGTTATATGCTTACACTCAAACCTCAAAATCAGCCAAACAGCCCCTCTGAACTTCGTCTTCTCCATAAACACAATTTCCCAATTCACCATTAGAAGGAAAAAAGCACCAATAAATTCAACAATGGGAACGTTAACGAGCTGTAGTTTCAGTACAATGAACTTACGGTTTCGTATGAATCCTCCGATTAGTTGTAATTTCAGTCGGAGAATCCAAATGAAGAGAATGTCAAAACGGAGTTTCGGTAGATTGATTATTAGTTGTAGTAGTAGTGGTGGTGGTGGTGGTGGAAGTAGTAGTAATGATAATGGAAGTAGTAATGATGGGAAGCTGGAAAAGGATTCTTCTAATTTAGCTACTGTAACTGAAGAGACGGCGGAAGAAAGGAACGGAGGTGGTGAGGCAAGTGATTCGGAGGATTCTTCGGTGTCAATTTCATCCAGGGTGAGTTTGTATTTTGTTTTTGCTTTGAGAAATTGAAGAAGACTTTTGAATTTCGTGATGTTAAATTAAATATACATGAAATGTACTAAAATGTACGTGGTGGTGGAAAGTTGAAATTAAAGAGTTGTAAAAAAGGAAAAACATATTCTTATTGAAACGTTTGAACGAGAGGGAGTACCTCCTTTTGGCTATTGATTTTGAAGTTGAAATGAAACTTAAAAAATTGAGTTTTTGAAGCTGTGATATTTTGGAAGTCGAAGTTGTGTTTGGACGTGCATTTTGCTTGGACAAAGTTTGAAGATTTGAGAGTGGAAGTCTAAAAAATTCCAAAAAAACTGGCCAGAGCTAGTTTTTGGGAGCTTGAAAATATCAAAATTCATGGCCAAACAGATATTTAAAGATAAATTTTCAAAATCTATGCCAAACCTAGCATAGAGTTGGTTTTAAGTTTGTTTAGAGATGTTATGTTAGTGTTGGGACAAGTGCAAATCTTTTAAAAGTTGATAAATTGATAACTAAATGAGCAAGGGCACGTTGTGCATTAGTAGCAAGTTCAAGGAAGTGAAACAAAGACAAGCAACTCTCTAATTTGCTTAACTGAGAATTTAAATGAAGCACATTGAAATAGAGCAGAAATGGATATAAAGGATTCATATAGCACACCCCAACCCAACTAGATTGGTTTTTGATGTGTAGTTGTTATTTTCTGAAATTTTTAAGTTTCTTGCTACTTATTTAGAGTTCGGTGCCGATGAAAGGAGGAAACTTTGGGGGAAAATAAGAAAGAATGTGTATTTAACTGATAATTGATATAAGTATTAGTATATTGATGTTGTTCTTCATGCTGCTGGTTGTTGGACCATGTCATAAGCTTCTAGAGTAGGAGAACTGATTCTGCCAGCTACGTATTCAATGCCTCTTATCCTGGCTAGTGGCTACTGACTTACTTATCCAGATAGGAAACATTTTACGGCAATGAATGGAAGGGAACATTGAAAGTTACATGCAAGTATTTTGCTTGAAATTTCCATTTTCTGTTTGCCTTTGTTCCTTATCCTTGAGAGAAATAAGTGGTTAGGTTGTTCTGTTGCTGTGTGTTCTTGGAAACAACCTCCTGGTACAATTGCAGTGTGTTTTTGGAAACAACCTCCTAGTAGAACTCTGAATATCTAACCCTTCTTAGACTATGCAACATTGGAATGCATAGGCAATCTTGATTAGTTGAAATCTGATCTTGAATAGAATGCTTAAAAGCAAATGCCTACTGGGAATCTTACAACTAGTGACTTTGGAGCTTGCAATACCAAAGGTTCTTTACCCTTATATAATGTTTGGTTTCAACTGTTAAGTTATTTTGACTAGTATAAAAAAAAGGTTGTGGCCTGAGACATATGTGAATTTTAAGAAACTTATCTGGTCATTAAGATAGGAAGAAAAGTGTCAAATAGCTATCCTTTATTGCATTGTAGTCAGAAAATGGTCAAGTAATCTATGTCGAGTCAAAACAAGCTTGCCAGAAGTGTTTCTCTAATGATAAAAAAAAGGAGTAGCTGCAGGATATTAAGAATCATTAAACAAATGAAGAAGAAAATCCGATGTACTGAATATGTTTACTTTCTTGGCAGCCAACAATATCCACTGTTGGATCAACTTATAACAATTTCCAAGTAGATTCTTTTAAGTTGATGGAACTTCTTGGACCCGAAAAGGTTGATCCCAGTGATGTGAAGATCATTAAGGAGAAGTTATTTGGCTACTCTACTTTTTGGGTGACTAAAGAAGAACCATTTGGAGATTTTGGAGAGGGCATTCTTTTCCTTGGGAATCTTAGAGGAAAGAGCGAGGATGTTTTCGCCAAACTTCAGAGTCAGTTATCAGAAGTTATGGGTGATAAGTACAACCTATTCATGGTGGAGGAACCTAATTCAGAGGGGCCAGACCCACGTGGTGGGCCCAGAGTCAGCTTTGGTATGCTGCGTAAAGAAGTTTCTGAACCAGGTCCAACATCTCTCTGGCAATATGTTATTGCTTTTCTGTTGTTCCTTCTCACTATTGGTTCCTCTGTGGAGCTAGGAATTGCGTCTCAGGTGTGCTAATTATCCTCGTGGTTTGACTTTGGAATTCCCTTTTACTTTGTTTCATTACTTCTTCTCATAAATTGTCAATCTTTTTGTCAAATTTGACTTGATGACTTAAATTTATGTTGAGCAGATAACTCGCCTTCCTCCTGAGGTAGTTAAGTACTTTACGGACCCAAATGCAATTGAACCACCAGATATGCAGCTCTTGGTACCATTTGTGGATTCTGCTTTACCACTGGCATATGGTGTGTTGGGTGTCCAGTTATTTCATGTAAGATTTCTTTGTTATCCTATTAGTTGATTGTGTGGGATTCTCTGTTATTGATAGAGTAAGCCAAGGCCAAAAGGAACATGAAAAATTTCTCAAAAGTCCCCAGCTTTATCTTTGATTTATGATAGAATGGATTAAGCTAGGCTTTTATTTCCTTCTTTGGCAACATTAATTATGTCAGCTAGGTTGAGTATTATTTTATTCAGAAAAGAATAATTAGTTGTGGTTTTAGTATTTCTCTTACTTAAAAGTTTAGTGTTGAAATGGGATAGTGGAGAAATATTAAACTAAATAGAAATACCATAAACACATTTCTTTGCCTCAGAGCAGAAGCTTTATGTTTTAAGTTATAAATATGGTTACTGCTGAAAATTGAAGAACAGTCTCAACAGAAACATCTATTGTATAGATATGCTAAGTATGCTCTGCTCCTATGGTAACTGAACTCATAATTACTCCTAAGAATAAGAGAAAACAACCTGATGAAGCAACGGATATGCACTTTACTGATTTAATTGTGGGAATTTACCACAAAATGCAATGTTGATCATGAAAAGTGCTTAGTCTAAAAAATTGAGAGAATGCACTGAATCAACCATCTTACTCCTAAGTTCTTATATAGGCGCATTTTGCAGTGTATGCATCTGATTTGGGACACTACTACATGTAATGCTACACCTGTATGCATTTAACTTAATCTAAACTAGCTATCTAACGCTTCTCCTGCAACAACTAGCATTACTTCCCTTCAAGGAGTTTTAAATAAGATTGAATCCTTCTTTTATTACCTTCGTGCCAAAAAAGGAAGGAGCTACGAGTTCTGAGTCTACAGGCCTATTAGTCTGGTAGAAAGCATCTATAGGATCATGTCTAAGGTGCTTGCTAGTAGACTGAAAAAGGTGCTGGCTGAGACGGTGTCTTCTTCTCCGAATGAATTTGTGAAAGGAAGACAAATCTTAGATGCGGCATTTGTGGAAATCGAGGTGGTGCATTCGAGGAGAAAGAAGGGAGAGTCAGGGATTTTATGTTAGTTGGACCTTGAAGGGATTGATCTCATTTTTCTGTGAACACATTTCAGGCTTATATTTTTTCATCTGATTAGTGAAGTACATAGTTTTTGCATTTCCTCATGCCAATCAGAAGATTCCTTAATCAATTTAAAAACATATTCATAAGTTTTGCCTTTCCTCCTGCCAATTAGATGATTCCTTAATTGATTTAAACACATATTCAGCTGACCTAGGGCATTGTTTTGAAAGATGCAGGACCTGAAAATGAAAGTAATTGTATTGAATTGTTGAAACTATAAGTAAGGTCACAGAACCAGGTAGAATTTGTCTGTGGTTAAGATATAAATGGAAGGTCAAGGTATCTTCTAAGTTCTAAGTAACAGAAGGAAGCTATAACTTATTAGACACCTTCAGTTATTGTCGAAAGTTACTGTAAAATATTGCGCTCGAACATGTAGAAGGGACAATTGTATGCATATATTAGCTAAAGCTAAGCTTTTGTATCTCTAAATGATATGTGGCTTAAGGTATATACTTCTTCTAAGGAAGAAAGAAGGTCAACAGCGCCTCAGGAAATCACACATTTATTTCTTGACGATGAAAGAGTCAAAACTAGCTTTTGAGCTAACCAACCATGGAGCTACCAGCCAACAAGCATGAAAACTATGCTTTGACAAGGAAGAGGAGACCAAACTATTAAGAGGAAGAAGCTGATGGAAGACAGTTGTAGCTCTGCATGAAAACTAAAAGTTGCTGCTATGCTATTATCTTTTGCTTGTGGAAAAAGTTTACCCTTTTACATTTCCCATTTGTCATTGCAATTCTACCAGGATATCTTAATGCTAGTACAAAAAATAAAATTTGCTGTTAAGAGAAAATAACACGGCGGCTAGTCTATCCTAGTGATTTTATACCTCAACTTTTGTTACCTTATTCCTCCTGTCCAATTCCACATCAATAGTTGATTTATTGCAGGAAATCGGGCATTTTCTGGCTGCATTTCCAAGGAATGTGAAACTAAGCATTCCTTACTTCATTCCAAACATCACTCTTGGAAGCTTTGGAGCAATAACTCAGGTTAGCATATTTTTTTATCACTTGTCAATGCTGGAAACAGAAAAGTTGGCAGCTGAGGATTTTGAACTCTCTTAGAGATTTGCGCAAATAGATCCAATATTCTGAATAGTTCTCAAAGTGTTGTTTGCTCCAGGAGAGTCATGAATGATTACATTCACCTGGTCTCGTTAAAAGATGGATCATGCTGGTGATATGCATTAAAAGTGGTGCTTTTGCATGACTTGTTTTCATTGTTAAAGCTTAAACCCTGTGCTACGTGATACACTCTCCCTGGTCGTCAAAGATGCACTAGTTCTTAATAACTATTCTTCAAAGCAGTAATCATTTTTTTTTGGTGTAGCAGGGGGGGGGGGGGGGTAAATTTCATTTCTGCAGAGGAGGGCCTGATGGCAAAATGCATGGAGTACTGGGGATTGTTGTATAGTTTTTTTTTTTTGATGAAGTAAGAGAGAGAAATATCATTGGAATGCAGCAAGAAGATGCAGATAGGTACAAAAGAAAAGGTAGTACTAGCTCCAGTACATATGTAACTAACTAAGTTTAAGGAGCTAACAGAATCCAAAAATTAATTGGGCAATTTACAGGCTAAGGTTACTCCAGCTGTAGGGTTTGACTAAAACAGTTAGCCTTCAAGTAAGTGTGTGTTGGAGTTGAAATTCCATCAAACATCTGCGATTTCTTTTATTCCATAAATACCAAAAGATCGTAGCTGGGATCATCCTTCAGAACTTTTTGATGGCATTACATCAACTCTGCAAAAACTCCAGCTTTCATAGGCATCTTTAATTGACCGAGGCTGCACCCAACTCCAGTCTAAAAATAGAGAAGAAGTTCCAAAGTTCTGCTGCAACTGGGCTGTGTATGAGTAGATGGTCAATGTACTCCAGGTTCCTCTGACACGTGTAGCATCTATACACCAACTGAAAGCTCCTTCTGTTAAGGTTAACTTGGGTCAAGCAGACCCCATTTAAAGCAGAACAGGTAAAACAGATCACCTTGGTGGGAAGTCTAGTCCTCCTAATAAATGTCCAAGACCAGTCTTTAATCATTTCCATTTTGAGAGTGTAGATGTTTATAACCAGCCTTAACTGTGTATATTGCCTTTGCTAGAACTTCCCCATGAGATTCTGTTGTGCTATGGCCCTCAATAGAAGCAAGCTAATAAGTTCAAAAAATCTTCACACTCCCAATATTTGTTAATCTTGTAGGTTCCTTCTGAAAGTAATTAGCTCACGAACGTTCCCCTCTCTACCCACTTGCTGTAGTGATATGTACTAGCAATACATATATATTTTTTTTAAAATCTACTAGCATAGAATTTCTTCTGGCTGCAGCCTCAGGCCTCTTCCAAACAAGCTAGTTTAAAGAACATGAGGAGTTCGATGATGGTGCTGAGTATACTATAGAGCATGGACATTAATCTCTTGGAGTGTTAATAATGTTCTCCAATTTCCTCTGCCTTAGCCATTTCGTGTTCACTTTATCTAGGACTTTTATCATTTTAGGATTTTTTTAGTTCAAGCTTGTGATAAAGGATCCCATGGAAGTAGAGGTGCGCGACTGCACGCAAGCTGGCCGGACGCCACAGTTATAAAAAAAAAAAAAGTTCTAAATGTAGGCTGTGATTGAGGAGAGAAGAAAAGAAGTGGAAGGAGAATCAAATGTTATCCTTGCTGAATGAGATGTTGTGAATGTAACACTTCAAGCAATGTCAATGTGTAATACACTGGCATGGTTTCCCTTCTTAAGTATCACATATTTTGTTAAAGTCATATGGAGTCTAGCATGGAGGGATCTGTGCTAGATTAATTTACTTCATCAAACCTTGCTATTCCGCCAGATCCATCATCCCTCTATCAAGCATAAAACATATACATTAATCATCTTCTCTTGGTTCCTGCAGTTCAAATCCATTCTTCCTGATCGCAAAGCAAAGGTTGACATTTCTCTTGCGGGTCCTTTTGCTGGTGCTGCATTGTCTTCTTCCATGTTTGCAGTTGGCCTGTTACTGTCATCCAATCCTGCTGCTGCGGCAGAGTTGATTCAGGTTCCTAGCACACTTTTTCAGGGCTCTTTGCTTCTTGGGCTTATTAGCAGAGCCACTCTTGGTTATGGGTAAGTGTAGCCCTCCATGGGGAGCGAAAATATGAAATACTTGGAAAATAATTTTCAGAATGTATATTTGAATTATTGTTCTACTATAATATGAAAATTCCCTTTGTCAAAACCGCTATATTTGTATGCTAATCACTTTAAAGTACATAAATATAGTTGTTTTCAAAAGAATACCTTCACAGTTACGTGCTTGAAGGCCAGTGAACTTTTTGCTTTTCAAATTGGCAATATATTTTTGTTTCACTTATTTGAATCTTTAGCATATAAAATTTGAGCTAATATGCATTCATTTTCACAGAGCAATGCATGGAGCAATGGTTTCAATCCACCCCCTTGTGATTGCTGGCTGGTAAATTTGAGTTGTTGCAAGTAAATTTGTTGGGTAATTTTCAGCATGCTTGCTCTAAGTTCCATTTTGCAGGTGTGGCTTGACTACGTCAGCTTTTAATATGCTACCAGTTGGATGTCTTGATGGTGGGAGAGCTGTGCAGGTGACCTTTGCATTCTTTACTCTATCTATTAGTTTTTGACTTTTTGTGAACTTGGGGACTATCAAGGTTAATCTCAAAGTATAGTCAACAACATCCTACGAAATATAAATGAATGACAAGCCAGTAGCCTTGAAGTAGACTGTTGTTTACATAGTATTAGATGATTGAACAGTGTAAAGCTTGAAAAGTTAATACTTATAGATGTATGGGTCCTAAGTGATTCTAGTATTTCAAACAGGTGCAGGCGTGCAGCTCCTAGCGCCATAGGAACTGTTGAGACTTTTTAGCATGCTAAGAGAAATTGGCTAAACATTCTGCTGACCTTTTTATAAAGAATTATGACCTCTTGGAAAATGAAGAGCTTTCCTTGCTAAGAGATAATTTGGTTGTCCCAGATAAAGTATGACAGCTCTCTACTTCATGTTTTGTTTTTGACAGGGAGCCTTCGGAAAAGGTTCACTGGTTGGTTTTGGGTTGGCAACATACTCACTCCTGGGCTTGGGTGTGGTAAGCATTCTTTTGTCATTTGTTTTGTGGATAGAGCTTACTATAAACCTTTACATTGCTCTAAAGTTTTCCAACTAATATGTTTTCTTAGTTTGATATGCATATGTAGATCAAATGCCTGTCATTCTCACATATCCAATCATTGTCCAGTGTCTCTACTCTATTTATCCAAAAAAAAAGTGCTGTTATGTTGTAGACTTGTAGTAATAGTATTCTCTCCGTTTCAATTTGTTTGGCTTTCCTTTTTAGTCCATTCAAAAAAAAAAATGTCTTTTTCCTTTTTTGACAACTCCAACTTTCCACATGACATGTTTATAAGACCACAATATTAAAGAGCGTTTTTGATACATTTCACATATCTTAAGTTAAAGAACACAAGATTCAAAAATTATCTTATCAAAAAAAAAAACAAAAAAACACAAGATTCAAAAGTCTTTTTCAACTTTCTTAAACAAACAAATCGAAACGGAGGAAGTATAAGGTTGTCAATCCTAGAACCTATGTTTACTTATTGCATGCGCGTATTGAGGTCAAATTGCTTATGGCCTTTTAGATATCAGTCCTTTCTCCTTTTGCTTGGTGTTGCACATTATACAATCGATCACTCAAAAACTTTCTGTTTCTGTGTCTTATCAGCTTGGTGGACCTCTGTCACTTCCTTGGGGATTATATGTGCTTATATGTCAGGTAATAAAGTTACAATGCTATATCTCCGTCCTATTACATGGTATAAGAGTTATAGTCGTCTAGAAGTTTAAATCGTGGATCATTTGACATACAGAGGTCACCAGAGAAACCATGCTTGAACGATGTAACAGAGGTCGGAACTTGGAGGAAAGCAGCTCTTGGTGTGGCTATATTCCTGGTATTACTGACTCTCCTTCCTGTATGGGATGAACTTGCAGAGGAACTTGGTATAGGTCTTGTAACCACCTTTTGATTTTTAGAGAGTGGAACCTTGCCAATTTTTTATGTCGCCGCGATCTCTAGGAAGTATTTATATTGATCTTTGATGTACTTAGTGTACTATTTATACATGTATATAGATCACTATAGTGAGTTTTTTTTGGCTGGAAACACCATTTTTTATCTGCATTTTTGTTCTTATTTTTAATGAAATCTAATTCCATTGTCTTCCTAGTTTCTCCAGTTATGCACAGGTTTTGTTAACCACTACATATACATTAGATTTGTAGTATTATTAAATTTTAGAAACCTTAATATTAAGAACACAAGTTAGCTGTGAAAATAACTTTCAAAGAATGCATAATGACTTAATTATGGTTTGAGGGACAGACAACCCTAACATACTAATATTTACTTCTTCGGTTTCAATTTGTTTGTCTGAATTTAATTTGATACGGAGTTCAAAAAAGTAAAGAAGGTTTTCGAATGTTGTGGTCATAAACCAAAAATTTGTAGAATGTATCAAGATGTTCATTAATTAGTTTTAAACATGTCAGGTGAAAAATTGAAATTAAAGAGTTATTGAAAAAGGAAGCTACGAGTTTCTAAAACTGACTAAAGAGTAAAGTAAGACAAACAAATTGAAATGGAGAGAGTTTTTGATTTTATTTGTTTTAAAATCTTTCCCTATTTGGTTCAGATATTTATTTAGCAAATACAAATATCATAATCATATTATTATGTGGTCTTTTTCACGTTCTTCTTCAATTTTTTGTTTACACTTTTTTGCTCTCTTGTGAAAGCAATTTTACAATTATGCAAAAAAAAAATATCTATTATTATCTCGACATTTCGTTTATTGATGGGGTCATAACCATTTTATTTTAATTTTTTAAAATAATTTTAAACACTATAATTATGGTCATGTTACATCAATCTATATATGTTGTGTAAATTGAAAATATTGAAATCATTATACATGATGATGACCTAGTTTTGAATTATGTCCCCTAAAAATTTCTCTCTATTTCTATTTAATCATTATATTAGTATGTCATGTTGCCTGATAGTCTTTCAAAAACAGTCTCTTTATCTCTACAAGATAAGAATAAGATCTTCGTACACTCTATACTCGACCCTCCAAACCCCACCTTTGTAGAACTACATTGGCTATTAAGAGGAGGATCCATCAAAAATATCCTTCCTAAACTGCATGACTCCCATATATGTAAGGCAAAAGACATAAATTACCCCCTAAACTTGTACCCAAAAGTCATTTACACACTTTAACTAATGGGGCGACCTATTAAACACCTTAAGTACATAAAAATATATTTATTTCCCCCTTCCGTCACCCAACCCAGGGTGCGCTTCGCTCCACATAGTTGAGCGCGTCAACACGCTAATAAAGTCATTTTTATTTATTTTTTTAATTAAAAAAACCCAACCCAACCCAACCGTTATATTCCCATTCTCTTTATATAACCCACCCACCGGACCCTAATTAACAAGAAAGTCCATGTTGCTACTGCTGTTGTTGTTGAAGTAGCATCATATGCTACTGTTGTTGTTTCTGCTGCTGTTGCTGTTGAAGTTGTAGAAACTGCAATTGTTGTTGTTGTTGAAACTCCGCAAGAGATCGCTTCCCCATCAAATTGGGTTTCCCTTGATGAACGATCTGTGTAACCAGGTCAGGCAAAATACCCCATAGCGGTGAAGAATAAGGCCTTTGTGAGTTGTTATTCATGGTAGATCTTCCATTGTTGCTCCCACCGGCACCGTAAAACTCGCCGAAGTACCCACCACCATAATAACCATCGATTTGCTTCCACCAAACGATGAACGCCTCGATCGACAACACACCTTCAAATATGACAGTGAAAACTTGATTAGATGGTTAAAACTACAAGGATGCTTCAAAAACACTACAAAATCGAAGAAATCTTTAGCTAAAATTAGGATTTACAGATGATTTTTTTTAATTAGGTTTTGGTGTTCTTAGAGAAAGGAAACAAGTGGGTGAAATAAATGGACTAGGGTAAAATAAAATGGATTTGGGTGAAAAGAATCGGGTTTGGGTCAAATAAATTGGATTGAGGTCTTTTATTACGTGGCTTCACTAGGAGGCGAGTGACTCTCACTCTAGGCATAATGTCCTGGGTTGGGTGTCGGAAGGGGGAAATAAATATACTTTTATGTACTTAAGGTGTGTAATAGGTCGCCTCATTAGTTAAAGTGTGTAAATGACTTTTGGGTACAAGTTTAGGGGGGCAATTTATGCCTTTTGCCTATATGTAAAGTCATGTATGATATTACACCGAGTATATTTTCGTTTTCCATTAATATGTTCCCTCTTGCTAATCTATCCAATAATATATCACATTGATTTGTGAAAGAAATTAGTTGGTGTTAAATCAATAGATAGCTCATGTGTCTTTAATTAAAGTACATTTTTATCATTTAACCATATGATTAATTAATGCATCAACTTGTGACAATTTTTGCCCTTATACTTAAACTATTTAGATTAAGACAAATACCAAAAAGTGCATAAAGATACAACAAAAAATTAAAATATCAACAAAAATGAAATTCATCATGTGCAACTATTTTTTTTTAATATATATATTCTGTTCATATTGATACTTAAAAAGTTAGTACCTTTAGGGAACATCCAATTAAAAAATAAATTAAAATCATATAAAGGTACATAAAACTCCAACTCATTTAATTATTATTAAATAAATAAAAACAAAACAAGTCCCCACACTGAAATTGAAAATCACAAAGTAAAGATAATGACTTATGAGGCCTCTATCACATTGAAGTTCTATTCAGTTGCATTAAATTTTTATTTATATATATGAAAAATATTTCAATGTTAGCCACGGTGGCAAATGAGCGAGTTAAGTTGAATATTGAACAAATCAAAATAGACTGAATTAATACATGAACGAGTCAATAAATAATTACTTAGACTAAATTAGATTAAAAACGAGTCAAAAATCAAGTATTTGATATATTAACGACTATGTTGCTTGGACCTCTTAAGATATCAAGAGGTGTGTGTTAGGTTCTTTAAAAATAATGCTTTTAAAAGATTTGATATTGGTACATCATCAAAAGTGAAGAATTGCACACGTTAAATTAACTAAGTATATATTTTAATATATTTTCAACTCAATAATTGTATTTTGCTGACTAGCTCTCTAGTATAAAATAATAATAGTGTTAGGTGAACGGATTAATTGAAAGGTCAAGCGTTATCCATACATTTATAATTAATCATACCATAAATAATAAATTATTTCAGTTAATTTATTTTGTCAAACCGTATAATATGAGGTAAATTTTGATAAATAATCATACAAGTATAAAAAAGAAAGATAAAACTAATAAATTCATATCTTGAATCTGCCCTCTATAGATATGTAATGGTTTGTCAGTTCAAAAATTTGAAAATTTTAATTCACCTCTACGTCGATACTTTCTTTGTCTAAAATATTAACTATCATCTACTTATGCTTCTTCATTGTTTTTCGAGGGTCTATCGAAAACAGTCTCTCTATCTATTAGTGTTTTTTGTTTCCACTGGAATTTGAAATCTGAAACCTCATAATTCTTAACCACTTCATTGACCGCGACTACTATCTCACCCTTATTTATGTCTTATAATATAACATATTTTCACTAAACATTTACTGTTCAAGATCAACAATTACTATTAAGAATAAAATCACCTTTTTAATATTAAATTTATAAAATAACAAATAATTCAAAATAACTATTTTTAAAATTTACGATAAGGTTATGGACCTTTGTGATGCTGAAACCATACTGTATAGTCTGGATGTACAGACTTGTTGCAGTAGTTCCTCCTATGCCTTAAGGTCCCAACTTGCAAGATTTGGTAGGTAAGTATTAATTTACGAATTCGATAAAATTCAATAATTTAAATTTAAATTTTTTAATATATAAATATATTAATTTTATTATATGCAACAAATTCAAGATTTGGTCGGCAGGATCTAGAATTGTGAACTATAAGAAAATGCCAATTTTTTTTATATTTTATATTATATAATATAAATTTAAAAAATTGGTGGGACTTGAAATAATCGAGTGGATGTGGCAAACAAATAAAATTGGACCCCTCATGTACATTATTGCACATTCATTTTCTGAATTTTGACGCAAGTTCATGTTTTCTTGCTTGCGACATTAAATATTCGTTTTGTCTCAAATTATTTATCGTAATTTTAAAAAATAATATCTTACACTATTTATCATTTTACCAAGATAATCTTTTTTAATGTTTCAATCACATATATCTCTCTTGTTTGTGTACACGATCAAAGACCTAATAATTATAGGATAAGAGACTTATTCAGTTGGTAATCATCTTCGAAAGTTTCTAGAAAAGGATAATGAGAAAAAAACTCAATAATTATACATATAGACAATATAAATAATTATTATAAATTAATAGTATTTTATTTTTAATAAATTATATCGAGTTCACTTATTATGAATATTCACATATAATTACTTTTTATACCATGAACAATTTATCAAAGTTATACTTTTTTTATTTAGAAAAATAATAATTAATAAAGAGGTTTGTGTAATTTATTTATTGTAAACAATTCTCCTTTCCTTCGTCATCAAACATTTTATTTATTTATTTTTAGAAAAAAAGGGATTATGGCCTATTTCTATTACGTATTATATATGGACACGTATTTCCATGAAAGAATATTGTAGAAATATAAGATGTTTTGTTCTTACTCATCAAAAATGGCTGATTTGACTTTTGAAAATAGAATCATTTTTATAAAAAAGGCTTTACTTCTAAAAAATACTCTTCTGTCCACTTTTATTTGTCATGTTACATTTTAAAATATCGATTTGACTAATTTTTAAAATTAAATTATATTACATTAATTTGATATTTTAAATAAAAAAATTAGATATTCAAAAACTATGCAAAAAGTACTATAAATTGCAATTTTTCACATATCAATATGAAGAAAAAATATATCGTAAAATGTTAGTTAAAGTTCTTATAGTTTGACTCTAAAAAGAAAACCATGACAATTAAAAGTGGACAAATATAATAATAATTTATGAATACGAGCAGGAACGAAGCCAGCTTATTGTTAGAAGTTCATCCAAGCTTTCTTCGACAAAACTAATAGTCTAATAAATGTATGGCTAATATTATTTTC